CCTGCAAGCTAATAACTCATACGCCAGCGCCTTGGGGTTTATTTCTCCTTGAATATGCATTAGCTGATGCCTATCTCCAGCACTGGGGGAACGGCACAGGGCTTGAACAGCACATCAAGACAGCGCGTGCATGACCCCCTCCCTCCAGGTTTGTGGGAAGGGTGGCAACTGTCTGACAAAACCAGAAGCCGCCGTAATGGGACGTGTGGGTTTAGGCAGATGTCGTATGGAATTAGCAAAGCAAAAGTGGATAGCTCCACAGGAACGTTGTACGTGCAGTGAGAACCCTGAATCTTTGGAGTGAGGGTGTGGGGGCCCTTCATTCCAGAGGGAACCAGTGTTCCCTCTAAGCTGAGTGAGTGTGAGCTAGCTCACAGGTTTTTAGCTGCGGTGGCTCAAGTGGTTAAGACGCTGAACTGCAGGCTGTGGAAGGTCGGTAGTTCAGCAGTTCGAGACCCGGGTGCCGCATGACGGAGTGAGCTCCCATCTCTAGTTCCAGCTCCTGCCAACCTAGCAGTTCGAAAGCAAGAAATTGCAAGTAGATAAATAGGTACCACTTCGGTGGGAAGGTAACAGCGTTCCGTGCGCCTTGGTGTTTAGTCATGCCGGCCACGTGACCACGGAAACGTCTTCGGACAGCGCTGGCTCTTCGGCTTTGAAACGGAGATGAGCTCCGCAACCCTAGAGTCGGATTCGACTGGCTTTCGAGCAAGGGAACCTTTACCTTTACCTTTCACACATTTTTGCCTTAGCTCAGGAAGGATGTGGCTCCAGAGCAAACTCATTTACGCGGCAGCCAAACTGCTCGCTCACAACTGTCATGCCGGCAGCTCACAAAGTAGAATTTTTGCTCACAAGACTCCACAGCTTAGAGGGAGCGTTGGTTGGGACCCTCCAGTGGTTCACAAAACCCCACATGCAGAATCATGAGCCCCTATAGAGCTGTCTCCTTTTTTTGGTTAACTTTGGGTGGGACTGATCGCATATGGAACAAGAGCGCCATGCAGAGGTATGCAGTTAGAGAACGCCGAGCTTACCTGGTATCCTAAGTATCAGGCGTGGTAATCGGGTCGGCAATAACTCTGACTCCTTCCTTCTTTCTCCTCTCTCTGAATACCAGTTTGGTGTAGTGGTTAGGAGCGCGGACTCTAATCTGGGAGAACCGGGTTTGATTCTCCACTCCTCCACGTGCAGCTGCTGGCGTGACCTTGGGTCAGTCACAAGTTCTCTCAGAGCTGTCCTCTCACGGGCAGTTTCTGTCAAGAGCTCTCTCAGCCCCACCTCCCTCCCAGGGTGTCTGTTGTGGGGAGGGGAAGGGAAAGGGATTGTAAACCGCTCTGAGACTCTTTTGGGTAGTGAAGGGCGGGGTATAAATTCAGACTCTTCTTCTTTTTGCAGCTAATCCCCTGACTAAGATGCCTAATATTTAGGGTACCGAGTACCGTACAATATCTGACCACACTGCTTTTTTCTGTTTTGGGGGAGACAGCAGAGGGGGGAGACAGCTCCAATCCACTACTGGCCAGTGGGGGATGCCCCACCCCCAAACAGCCCCTCCCACATCGATGTTGTCAGTGTGACGACGTTGCGCAGAAGTGACATCATGCCAGGCACATCATGTGGCGACGCTCTAGCAATCTGGCCAAAAACTCTATGGCAACCATAGAGTTTTGACCAAAAAACTAGCACATCGCCGGTGTGATGACATCACTCCCGTGTGACATCATCGTGCAGCAATGTCGCCCTCCCCTCCCCACTCCCGGAACGCTCCCTCCCACCTCCTACCAGTCGGGTTAAGTGGACCTGGCAACCCCAGCTTAACTTTTCTAGTAGGGTTGCCAACCTCCAGGTGGGACCAGGAGACCTCCCCCTATTACAATTTATTTCCAGACAATCAACATCAGTTCCAATGGACAACATGGCGTCTTCGGAGGGTGGACTCTGTGGCATTGTAACCTGCTGAGGTCCCCTCCCCTCCCCTCCCCAAACCCCGCCTTCCCCAGGCTCCATCCCCAAAATTCCCAGGTTCTTCCCAACCCAGAGCTGGCAACCCAAATTTCTAAGCCTCAAAGATGCTCTGTCATGAGAGCTGACCTTGTGGCTCAAAAATTGTTTGGAAGCCAAAACGACGCTTGCTCTTGCTTCAGAAAAAAAATGACCTTTTTTTTTTTTACATAAGACAGAGAGCCTGAAAATGATGCCAAACAGACTGCTCTGACTTTGCCATGCTCGTTCCTTACCCCTGCTGTTTTTGTTTTGTTTAAATGTTTTATTTTAAAAATCTTCAAAAGGACACACTGCTTTGACCTCTATGGTCAAGAACACTAACATTTAGGCAGAAAAACTCTCTTAAAGGAGCCCAGTTTCTTGAGATAGAGTTAGAAGGGATCCTAGAGGTCACCTACTCCAACCCCCTTGCTCAGTTCGGGAATTAAACTACAGCACCCCACACTGCTTAAAGGAGTGCATGCTTTTAAAAAAATGTATTAAAATGATTGGAAAAGGCATTTACAGGAGAAATTCTTGTGGGGCTATATCTTTAAGAAAGGGTGCAGAGCCCCCCAAAGCCCCATAGCTACGGGCTTGGTAACGCCATCCCTCATTTTAAAAAAATCACTGCCCTATTTTTTTCCCTTTTGCGGGGATAATTTTGGGCAGACCACAATGTGAGCAAACTGTTTCTCTTTCACAGAGGCCTGTACAACATCCCTGCGTGAGCTCAAGCGTTCTATAGACCGCGTGACCACATCACATCACAATTTTTTTTTAAAAGGACACTCTTCTGAAAGGTTTATTAGCACACCCTGCATTGGAAGCCAGCGCAGGACTGCCGAGCACAGAGTAAATGAATGCAGAGGACGTCGACAATGGGGAACCGGCGGTGGGGAGAGACGAGATGTAAAAACGGGAGGCCTTCTCTGAGACCACGGACAAAAAGGTGGCTATTTTCGTCCGAGCAAAACTGCACACTGCACCGTATCAACACGCAGGTACAGACCTTCAGGGGATGGGCTGACCCCAAACCTTTACAGGAAAAAAGATATCGCGACCTACACAGTTAAGACTAGATTCGCAGGCAAGGATTTCTGTATGGGATTATGGAGTCGATACAGAGGGGGGGGGGGTTTAAATGCATTTTTCCAACGAGGAAAAACAGACGCGCAAGCTTCTAAAAGCCACCTCTGGCGCAGAATTTATTTCTGTCAAAAATATGAGGGAAGGGCACCAAGTCGGAATACTTTGGCAGGTCCTTGGCGGGTGGGGGGAAGGGCAGGGACAGAACGGAGAAATGAAGGTTCTGTTTCAATTCCCCATCTATCCTGCTCCATCTCGAAGGCTTTGGGAGGTTCTTCCCTTTGAAGCCACACCCTTCCCATTAAGAAGAGCCCTGCTGGATCAGACCAGTGAGGGTCCATCTAGTCCAGCCTCCTGTCTCACACAGTGGCCAGCCAGTTCCTCTGGAGGGCCAACAACAGGGCATAGAGGCTGAAGCCTTCCCCTGATAAGAACACCAGAAGAGCCCTGCTGGATCAGACCAGTGATCCATCTAGTCCAGCATCCAGTCACACACAGTGGCCAGCCGGTTCCTCCATAGGGCCAACAACAAGGAATAGAGGCTGAGGCCTTCATAAGAACGTCAGAAGAGCCCTGCTGGATCAATCCAGTGACCCATCTATGTAGTCCAGCATTCAGTCTCACACAGGGGCCAGCCAGTTCCTTCGTAGGGCCAACAACAAGGCATAGAGGCTGAGGTCTTCATAAGAACATCAGAAGAGCCCTGCTGGATCAGACCAGTGGGGGTCCATCTAGTCCCACCTCCTGTCTCACACAGTGGCCAACCAGTTCCTCTGGAGGGCCAACAACAGGGCAGAGAGGCCAAGGACTTCCCCTGATGTTGCCTCCTGCCACTGGGATTCAAACTGAGGGACAGCAAAAGTAAAAAGATATGAGTGGGCAGTGGGGGAGACAGAATTCTGGCTCCGGAATACTTAAGTCCCCCCCCCCATAAGTATGCAAGCACACACCTTTCTGGTTTGGGAGCCTCTGAGCAGTTTTCAAAAATTTCTGCTACCATCATGAGAGCTTGAGACTTGCTTTTAAAAGCAAATACAGAAACATAAACGTATTTGCAGGAAGCAGTGAAAAAAACAACTCAACGTGGGTCTTAATCAGGGTTGCTGAGCAACGGCTGGCACTGGCAGGAGATGGGAGGGTGGGGACTCGGGGGTTGCTGGCGATTTGCAGAGCGTGACATCACTTTTGAGGGAAACCAGAAGCGACATCACGTTGTTCTAGTTGTTGCTGGAAACGGTACGGTACTTTCCGGTGATTCCTAGAGTGCCGTGAAGTCACTTCCTGTTTCTCCCAGAAGTGACATCATGCCACATGTGACTCTGGTGACTCTTTTTTACCTCCAGCCACCTGAAGGAGGAGCAGCAGGAAGTGAAGGTTACCAGGTGTAGCAGAAGGAACGTAGAAACAACAGAGAGATCACGGGAAGGATGCAAACAATGATGAAAACAGCCGTGATGTTGTATTACCGTGTTTCCCCAAAAATAAGACACTGTCTTACATTTATTTTTTCTCAAGAAGACACACTAGGGCTTATACCACAAATGCATAGAAATCCTGCTAGGGCTTATTTTTTGGGTAGGTCTTATTTTCGGGGAAACAGGGTATGAAAATACATTCAGACTGCTGTTTCGCAGTGAGTAGTATTTCTTCAACAAGTAATAAAGATGTACGCATACACCCAACAGAATTTGCATTCACGACCGTTTCACAGGACAGCTTTTTCTAAGTGTGCTGCGTGGGTAACATTAGTTTACACGTCAACACTCAACATTCTTCCCGCGTCAATGAAACAGATTATTTCTGTGCTCATAGCAGAAGCGCTGGCAGCCCTGGTTCCCACCGAGCGATTAAACACACCTCAACCCCTTGCGAGGGGCAGACGCTCTGTGGATCGAGCGGCAAACGTTTTTCGCCCGTGCCCTTACCTTCTGCCACAAGGATTCCCTAGATGCCAGCGAAGAGCAGGCCGCTACAAACCAGCAGTTCCCCACTTGACCCTGGTGCAAATCGTGGGAGCTGATGCCGTCCACGAAGAGGTGAGGATCGTCGCAGATCTCCTGTAGGGAAGAGGAGAGGAGATCAGAAGAGGCGTGCAAGTTTCATTGCGCTGGAAACACTAGAGTGGAGAAACAGAATGCGGACAAAGCAGGAATACTTTCACCAACGGTCCCATTATTTTATTCACTTCATTTGTACCCCGCCTTTCCCCCCAATGGGGACACAAGGCAGCTTACACCGTTCTCCTGTCCTCCATTTTATCCTCACAACAACCCCGTGAGGTGGCTCAGGCTGAGAGAATGTGACTGGCCAAAGGTTACCCAGTGAATTTCCATGGCATGAGTAGGGATTTGAACCTGGGTCTCCAAGATACTACGAACATAAGAAGAGGAGGAGGAGGAGGAGGAGATTGGATTGATACCCCGCCCTTCACTACCCAAAGGTGTTTCAGAGCGGCTTACAAACTCCTTTCCCTCCCCCTCCCCACAACAGACACCCTGTGAGGTAAAAGAAGAAGAAGAAGAGATTGGATTGATACCCCGCCCTTCACTACCCAAAGGAGTCTTAGAGCGGCTTACAAACTCCTTTCCCTTCCCCTCCCCACCACAGACACCCTTGTGAGGTAAAAGAAGAAGAAGAAGAGATTGGATTTATACCCCGCCCTTCACTACCCGAAGGAGTCTCAGAGCGGCTTACAAACTCCTTTCCCTTCCCCTCCCCACAACAGACACCCTCTGTGTGAGGTAGGTGGGGCTGAGAGAGCTCTTTCGAGAACTGTCCTTTCAAGGACAGCTCTTGTCAGAACTATGCCTTGCCCAAGGTCATCCAGCAGCTGCAAGTGGAGGAGTGGGGAATCAAACCCGGTTCTCCCAGATTAGAGTCTGCGCTCCTAACCACTACACCAAGAGAAGCCAGTGTTGGATCAGGCCAGTGGCCCATCCAGTCCAACACTCTGTCACACAGTGGCCAAAAATACCAGGTGCCATCAGGAGGTCCACCACCAACACTCTTAACCACTACCAAATGGATTAATACATACATACATATATATACCAAAAGAAAATAAAATGGAAAAATATCAGTCTCACAGTCTGAGTTTACACTGCTAGGTAAACTGAAGGAGGACGAGGAGGAGATTGGATTTATACCCCGCCCTTCACTTGGCGTCTCAGAGCGGCTTACAAACTCCTTTCCCTTCCCCCTCCCCACAACAGTCACCCTGTGAGGTGGGTGGGGCTGAGAGAACTCTGACACAAACTGCTCTTTTTCAAGGACAGCTGTGCCAGAGCTTGTGACTGACCCAAGGTCACATCAGCAGGTGCAAGTGGAGGAGTGGGGGAATCAAACCCGGTTCTCCCAGATTAGAGTCCGCACACTTAACGACGACACCAAACTGGCTCTCCCAAGAGGCTGGAAACTCAGCAGAGTTTTCAGCTAAGCATTAGGAAGAGCTTCCTCACAGTCAGAGCG